TAAAGAGACAATATACTAAGACAACACATATAGATGCAATTCTCATAAAGATATACATATAGAATTTTTTTCATTTTAGAGTGTTAAATAGACAATATGATTTTTCATAACAACTTAAGAAATTAATGAAAATAAAACAAGCTAGTAAAATCATAAGATACTCTTTTTTATTTATTTTTTATTTAAATTAATCTCCTTTGATAGAAGTGTCTTACTATGGGTTATCACGCAAATAAAAGTTTCTTTCTTATTCTTTTTCTTTTCCTTTTTTTTGATAAACACATAATTTCTTTCATTTGTTTTGTCTATATGGTATCATGCAACCATCTTTGTTGTTTAGGTAACTATCCTTCAGGGAACTAGCACTATTCCACCAAAAGTTTTTTTTATCCTTTTATTTTTTATTTTTTAATTGGTTGAGTCGTTATAGAACATAACATAGATGAGTCATGAGATATATAAAACATTATACATCAATTTTGCTTTTGTTTGCTAAAAAACATCATAAGAATTTTGATATAGTTGATTTCTACTAGTAAAAATGTTTTATTGAGTTTTCTATTGGTATAATAATATCACATTGTGTTCATACAATATATGTTTATAGGAATAGCCTTTATTGGATAATGCAAAATTACAGTTCTTCTAGCATGCTTGAATAATACAAGTTAAAAACATCTTAAATCAAATATGAAAAATAATAAAATAATTATAAACTAAATAGGAACATATGACCTATCTTAAATTGTAACATTTAGGCCTAGTATGTGGCCTTATTGTTCTTAGATGACTATGAGAATTTAACCATATGAAAAGCAAGGCTTCTACAATTTCTTAAAAACCTTTATCTCAATTCAATGAACGGATTGAACATTATGCTTATTATCATAAAATTGCATGCTTCATCAAAATCACATGTATTAGTCTTTACTTGTTGGAAAGAACTCGTTCTTAAATTTATATTATTATTGCTTTGATCTCGTGGATTTCTAATAAAGATTGAATCTGTAACTAGTCCCATTTAAAAAATTTAAGCTTGCCTTCTACTCTTTTATCTTTCTTTCATGATGAAAGAGTAACATATAGGGGTTTGCCAACAATCATTTTTTCATACATCACCAATAGATCTTGCTTTATTAGTAGAATTGGTTTTGATGTTCATTAGGTCTCGTCAACCACCAAGATGCTAACTTTGCTAAGTCATTAGGACAAAGAAATTTAACATAGGAGTCTCCCTAGGCCTAGGTTTGTTTTTTTTAGGTTAGCTCTTTATAGGATATCTTTTTATTATCAAATGCACATGCCAAAACAAAATTCTTTGTCAAGCATTAAACTTAGAAACTAGCATAAGGTTATTGTCGTTGATAGCAATTTCAAGAGGTTGTGTGCTCTACTTATGCCTCTAAAACAAGTTCTCAAAATTAGCTATGAATTCATGCTCACTTTTCTTACAATTCTGTTTCTCTCTTCCATTTAACGAGTTAATTATATAACTTGCCTCTATTAGTCTCTCTTTACAATTAATGAGTTAATTTTGTAACCTGTCTTTGTAGACCTTTAATTTTAAGTTTGTTAGCATTGCACTCTTGAATGTTTGATTCCCAATATAGGACTTCCTTATCACCTTCTATATAAACATGTTATGTCCTATGTCTTTTTATAGACATTGTTTTCTAACAACATATAATAATAAAACACTAGCATCCTAGACTTTAATACCAAATGATGAAGATGACGACGATGACGACAAATTAAGATTGAAAGGTTAATATGAAGAGATATATAAAAACCACTTGAGAAACCTTAGTCGTACACAATTATTACAATAAGAGAGAAATATTCTAAATTTTAATCTCAATAATCAAAACATGGTATCATAGGCTGCTTAAATAATGCAAAATCATATCTTAAATAGAACAAAAAAATGATAAAAAAATTTTAAACTAAATAGAAAAGTATGATCAATCATGAATAATAATTTTGAGGCTAGATTTGGGGGCCTTAATAGCATTGAAAGGTTACAAAAAGTTAACTCTACATAAAATAAGGTTTTTAGAATCTTCTCACAAAATTTTAGTTCAATCAAACAAATAGATTGAAATTTATAGCTATTATCATAAGGCTAAAATCTCTTGCATCAAGTTCTTTCTATATAACTGCTTGACTTACAAAACATATTTATTGTAAAATTTTGAAGAAAATTAAATAATATTATGATAGAATTGAAAATATTATCTTAAATTGCATTTTATATAAAGAGATAAAATATTCATTATTATCAATAAAAATATATTTAAAATAAGTTTATAAAAATATTTTTAAAAATAAATAATTTTTAAAAATTTAAACATTTCTTTTATTTATTTATTATTTTCAATGATAATTTATTTATTTTCAAATAATAATTTTATTTATAAATTTAAATATTTAATTAATTTTATTTATTTAAAAAAATAATTAGTGTGAGGTAATTTTATTATTTTGTTTTATTTTCATAAATTGATATTTTATTTTATTTATTTGTAAAAATAATTCACTTTTAGTATGAGTTGTCTAGGAAAAATGCTTAGGTAATTTTGTCCCATATATTATCATAAACAACTTATTTGTTTTTAAATATAGTTGTTTATAATTTATGGGCAACTTTAAAAATTCAAAACTATGATCCCCTAAATTGTCTAGTTAGGGTAATTCATATTGCTAGATTACTTTCCATAAAAGGTTGATTTCAGTTTTTTTATATATATAATTTTATTTTTATTATGAGCTATAATAAATTCTTGTTAAAGATAATCTATTATAAAAATATAAGTGGTACTTGAACCACTAAAAAAAGTTTTGATTGTGGGTCATTTGAAAAGTTGAAAACTTAAAAAGTGAAAAGTTTTATAATCTTGAACCCATAAAATAATTAATGTATGGATTAGACTTTACTCATAAAAAATTATTTATTGTTAGTTAATAATTAAACAATACTTTAAAGGGTAGAGGGTAGAGTAGATGGTTTTCTAAACCACTATAAAATGGCATGTCTCTTTATCTCTAACCATTTTCATATTTAATATTTATTTTATCATTTTAAAGGGTTAAATAATCAAACTTTCAACTAAGCACCTAATTCACACCATAAATGCTTTTAAGACTTTAATTGTGTGCCCGTATGCACAAATTTAAATCATGACATATTACTCCGTAAAAAAAAAATTATATAAGATTTATTATAAACAAATAAAATTATTACATTAAAAAATATTGAAATGTTAAAGAAAATAATTTTCTAAATACAATATAAATTAAAAAAAATAAGGAAATTCTCTAATTAAAGAAACCCTTAACAAAAGTCCTTTAATTATTTAAAAACAATTGACAAATAGTAATTTAATTATGTGGCGTATACATCTTCACTATTTTTAATCAAACTCTTTCTGGATAAAATCATGAGATTGCCTTACAAAATATGTAATATTTCTTGAAATCTCGAGAATAATTAAGAATTTTCTTCATGGGAGGTAGTTTGGTATGCTTGAGTTACTAAAATAGCTCTAATACCTAATTAAGCGCACATTAATCTACAATACTACAATAACTACGTCAGTTTTAGTGCTTTGTTATTCGAATAAATAGTAAAACATCTTAGTATATATTTTTAATTGTTTGAGAACAAATTGAAGTCTTCGCCCAGTCGATTAGCCAAGTGACAAGCGAAAAATCATGGGTTTAAGAGTTCAAAAGCGTGCTTATTTTCTAAATTATAACAGACAAACTATAATATATATATATATATATATATATATATATATATATATATATATAACAAGGCTAGACATGCAGGCTAACATGTTATTCACATATTGATAGCTTCTTTTTTTTTTTTGGTTTTTTTATAATCTAAAAAATATTTATTGGATTCACTTATTCTTCAATTTTAACATAAATCTTAAATACTATTATAAATTTTAATTTTAATTTTAATATTTTTTAATTATTATATATTTGTTCTAAAAATGATAATATTAATAATAATTGTTTATGAAAATTCTATTGAATTATTAAAATATTTAAATAAATTTGAAACATGATTTTATCATATTTATAATTTTTTTAGCTTTCAATTACAGAAAATATGGACATATTATTTTGTTCTTTATTTAACTTGCTTTAATAATAATATTTTTTTAATCTAAAATAATATTAATCTACGATTAAAAAAAAAGATACATAAAAAAAATTTATCTTTACGAAAATAAAAATTCAAAGTGATTATATTTTTGGATTTAATGATAATAAGGATTTTTAAAAAAAAAAATTTGGATCCCAGCAATATACAGAAAAAGCATACAAACTAATTGGTGTGATCTGACCATGTTAAGCAGCTAAAGATACCGATTACCCATATCTAAAAACGTTACTCAGGTTAATCAATTAAAGAAGAATTATGGGGGTGATTGGATAAAATGTTTTTTATTTAGAAATATATTAAAATAATTTATTTTTTATTTTTAAAAATTTATTTTTAATATTTATTTTTTATTAAAAATATTTTTAAAATTCAAAAACAAACCAGCCAAAACATAGTTTTTCTGCCATTTACTAGCCATCAGAAAATATTACTTAGGTCGTCATTTCCAAATCAGTCCTCCATCCATTCCTTGTATTTTAAACTCTTCAATCCTTATTATCTCTTGGCTGTGACTTGGATCATGACTGAGACGAGACCTAAATGGCAGAAAATGCACCTAGTTAAGGTTCTCCCCCAAAATATGAGGCTTCGTTTAATTTCTGATCTCGACAAAAAACTTGTTAATAGGCTTCTCAAAGCTTAAACACGATAGATAGAGGCAAGTGGCATGCATACGCAGCTGTATATACCCAGATGTTAAAACGACCCGTTCCCAGCTATTGTGGGAGCTGGATCTCTATCGTTATCTAGCTCCGCGAGCCATAAAGAAGAGGAATATAGGGCAGGAAACTGGAGGTAGCCCTAAACCAAAAACTGGAGGGAGGAAATCATAATTAAGCCCAGATTTAAAGTTGGGAATGTTCATTGTATATATAGATATTATTAATACCCTACAGTACAGATCTCGACCATTTCCTCATGGCTTTAAATTTCCCAGAAAAGCTAAATCTCTGAAATCCCAGTTAGCCAAAACCCTAACTTATATAGAAAGGAGATCTGCTGTCGGATGTCCTTAAAATAAAGATGAATCCGATGGGCATAACCCAAATACGCAAGCATTGATCAAGCCAACAAAGCATGGCTCGACTTAAGAATTAACCCTTTCCGCAGAATGATTTCCATCCATACAGAGGCAGAGCGAGAGCGAGAGCGAGAGAGGTTGCGTGCGCCTTGTAAACCCTTGAGTGTTAAACTGATAAAAGATTCGGATTTTCACAGAGACTGCAGACATCATCAAACATGTTTAGATTCGAGGAATTCTTGAATAAAAAAAAAAAAAAAGAGCCCTAGAGGGAGAGAGTGAGTGTTGGGTGGGGAATCACATTCTGCTACCTCACTTCCAGGGAAAAAAAAAAGACAAAAAGAAAAAAGAAAACCCTAGGAGAGAGAAGAAGAAAGCATTTCTGAGTGGAGGCAAAGGTGAGTTGCACCATGAATGACAGGAATCATAGTTGGAATTTCGTAGCCATGTCTTGACAGATATCTCTTTTTTCCTTCAAGTGGTTGGACCATTTTTGAAGAAGTGGAAAACACCAAAAAAGAGCGACCCAATTATCAGACCAACTAAAGAAAGATAAAAAGAAAAGGGCAACGCAAAGTAGTACACAATGCGTGCAGTGGATAGAATGAAATGACTGCCCCTTCATTTTATGTGGGGATATGCAATGTAACTCATTATTTGTGCAAGAAAATTAACTGCACCACAGGCCTGCCTTTTGGGTCATTCGTCCCATCTCTAACACTCGACTTCAATTCTATCTAACATCCACTGTGCCACTTATGATTTTGATATTTTCGAGTCCTTTTGTTTAGCTGGGTACCTACTTTTCTCTGGGGAGGACCATGATAGCTGTGTTTATTGATGGGGACAAACACTTTCGATTAAGTCTTCAGTTCCTATGCCCCCAAATACATGACGATGAAGGCTACGTACCTCTTGTCGGTGAAAGATTCATCTATACAGTTATAGCCAGAGATGCTCGACGGTGGTATAGTAGTGGATTAAACGAACAAGTGCCGCATGGATTCCATGTTTGTGCTGGTAAATAGTTTTGCAACCAGGAATGTTGTTGAAAACACTATTTAACTTTTAAAAAAGCTTTTATCAATTGATTCTCAACAAATTCTGAGTGCAAGAAGATTATAAACTTACACAACAAGATTCTAACTAAATAGTAGAACAAGATTTCCAAATATGATTTTTCTTGTTATTATCAATGATTTCTATTTAAATTAGGATTTGAACTAATTATCAAAGAATTAATTCAACATAAAAGTTTAAGTTCTTAAGTAAAATCCCAAAATCTAATTTATATTATTTTCTGTCGCTAATGTATCAAATACTTAGTTTAGTAGCGAGGGACTCTCTAGAGATGGATTCCATGTTTGTGCTGGCAAATTATCTAATAATAAGTTGTCAACTCATCGTTTCCTTCCAACTTATGGTGCTAGGTAAGGAATTGGCAATGCAACCTTTCATTTGCAACTTCCATAATATCATATTTAAGACAGCATGCTTCTTTAGAAATATCTCCTTCGAGTATCACTTTTGAATCATAATTATGAACATATCTAATAGGTTGAATCTAGTCAAAAATTTGTACTGACTTGAGCTTTTGCCCACGGTATCCACTGGAAGAATCCAGTTTTTCAGCTGTCAAACTTGTATCTTCATGGCCAGACGTCCCAAATTCCTCACTCTTCATCAATGGATTCTTAGGGAAGTTTTTGAAGACCAATTCAGTGCAACGCTTTATCTAAGAAAAACGATCAGAGGTAATGGGAGAAGCAACACCTTGTTGTGTAGGAGAGTTGAATCCACCCACCTTGTTGGCAATATCTAATTTTCTATATGAAACCAAATCAGTATTTTGTTGCTTCAAACATTTTATTGCAGGTGTTTTCTATCGGCTTGACTCCATATTGGATTCTTGCATCTTTGCCACTTCCATATCATCCAAGGCAAGTTTTAATTTATCGATAAAAATTTAGCTGCTAAATCTGAAAATAAATCTACTCTATCTCCATGTAACAATTTCCTTTGTTTCTCTAATTTCTGCATCTGATCCTTGAGTCTCTCGAAGGACTTATTCAGCATTGCCCATTCTTGATCCCCTACCTCACAGTCCAAACTTATCTCCATTCTCTCAACATCAAGTTTCTTCATTTCTAAAGCAATTTATTCCAACTCTTTTTCTGTTTTTTCTCCTAAGAGAAGTAATATGTTTAAACTTGCTTTTATTTTTATCTCAAAAGTTCTCTTTATCCTTTAAATAACTTTCTATCTTTTCACTAGTTATGATGTTTTTTTTTGTCCTTCATTCCTTAAGTTCTCTCTTTATCCCTTTTAAATTATACTACCAAGAAAATTGTTAAAAGTTATGATGTTAATTTTTATAAAGTTGAATTTTAGATATGAAATAATAATGGTGTTAAATAAAATATTTTAAAACATTTAAATAATAAAAATAATAAGAGGAAAGCAAAATCTTTGAAAGACGTACTACAACCCGTGGCAAAGATTATAATAAAAAAAAAACCCTATATGTATAAAAGATCATGAAATAACTAAGATTGATGATCCACCTGTTTATTTTGCTTGGATACTAATTATTGAAAATACTAAATTCTCAAGTATTTAACATTTTAAGTACTTAATGATTGATTTTTAACACTCTTTTGAATTCAAAATATGTTGACCTTTATATTTATAAAGAGATTACAAGCTCAAACTATCATGATTTAATAGGGATTTTAATCAATCAATTAAATAAAAATTATAAATACAAATCTTTTTTTTATAAAAAATTTCTCCATGGACTAGAATTTCAACTAATATCTAGACAAACTAATATCTTAACAGATATGGCAAGACAGCAATAAAGGATCTGGATAGATTTACGGTGGGAATCAAAGTAGGTGCAAGGAAAACATGGTCATTTGATTAACGCTAGCTACATAAATATGTGTAAGAAATTAAAACAATTAATTTAACAACGCATGGCTATGGCTTAATGGAAAGTAGAAAATTGAAAATACTGTTAATTTCTACTAGTATAAAAAAACATTTTGGATTTTTCATTTCTAACTCCAAAATTGTCTCTTTATCCTTTAAATAATTTTCCATCTCCACTCCTTTTATCATTTTTCTTTATCCTTAGATTGTGACCTATTACTTTTGAAAATTTCATTAAAGAAACAAAATGGTAAGAGGTTGATGACGATGAAATTAATGCCATTGAAAAAACTAACTTTTGAAAGTTGACAAAGCTTCTAAAAAACTAAAAAATTATTAGTGTGAAATGAATGTAAAACATGTTAGGTAGCTTAAAGTTATAATCAAAAGTATAGAAGTTTGCTTCTTTTGAAATATATAATAAAATAAGATTGATTATTGTTTCAGCAACTTATAATTTATGATATATTTTTTAGTTGAATGTAAAGTCAGTTTTTATATATAAAAAACTGAAGACCTTCAAGAATAAATATTTATTGATCAATCTTCTAGTTATATAAAATGTCATAAAATATAAAATATTTACTGAAAATGAAGCTAACAAACTAAAAAACGCTCTTCAAACATGGAAGAGATAATAACTCATATGATCAACTAGCTGATATACTCACCAAAACCTTATCTTCCACTCAATTTTATCAATTATTAAGTAAGTTTGGATGCACCATTCCACTGAATCCAGCTTGAAAAGGGGTCTTTGAGACACTAAAACAATTTTGAAGATCTTCACTATTATGCTATTACCAAGTATAACTTATTTATTACCTAGTTTAAATATAATTGTGTATTTATTATTAGCATATAATCTTAGCATACTGTTAGGAGAAAGAATACATAGGATTGTCTTTCCTTGCTGCAAGTTTTTCCCTTTATATATATATTCATATGTATAGCATAAGTATGAATGCAGAACTCTGTTTTATTGTTACACTATCTCACGTCTCTTCTTTGCTTCAAATTTCTTCATGGTATTAGATCATAGTATTTGAATTCTCATACTATAGAAAGAGACAGTGGTGCTGTCATGGAAGACCACTTAAAAATTGCCAATGATATTTGATCAAAGATCTCAGCACTAGCATATTGTTCTGATGATAACAACACATCTTAGCAAATTGTTCTGATGATAACAACACATCTTAAAGATTGAGTTGTGTTATTGAATGAATTCAATTATCTTCCTTAGTCAAGGACTGTCACTATTTCTCTGGTGGAAGATCTAAGTTGGGGTTCATAAATGTTTCTATCATTCCCCCAGAAGTTGATAATCTAGAATATACAGCATGGCTTTTCAAAGACCAGTTGATCATGTCTTAGATCCTTAACTATATGGAAAGGAACCTTGCTGAGATTTTTAGTTTCTCAAAATCATCATCGGACTTATAGGATGCAATTCGTGACATGTTTGGAAACCAAAATAATGCTTCCAAAATATTCCAAATTCATCACGAGATTGCCAACCTTCACCAGGAAGGAAAGCCCTTTGTTCAGCTATTGGGAAGCCTTAAAGGCTTGTGGAATGAACTGGAAATATATCACCCACACACTACTAATGCTGCTATATTACGAAAAAGAATTGAGGAGGATATGATTTTTCAGTTAATGGCAAGTCTCAGCCCAGATTTTAAAGACCTACGAAGTCATATTCTGATAACTCCAGAACTACAATCTTTAAAATTAGTTTGCGTCACTATCTCACGTCTCTTCTCTGCTTCAAATTTCTTAAAAGAGTTTGAATTATTAGCTAGTTAGTTTATTTGTTTGATGCTAAACATAATCGGATGCAAGTCTAGTATACATTAGTAGATACATAAAATTTCAACTATAGTTTTCTACATGGATTTGGTTTTAAATTAGTGTAGTTTGGTATATTTAAAATTCATCCAAGTTCATACAATATTGAAGTTTTTTATTTTAATCCATACATGTCAAAGTATAAACATATATCTATACATTTCATTTACTCCAGAATTTTGTAATATACTCCTTATCTTATACTTGAATTTGGTTTCTTAAAAATTACAAAAGCTTCCATTTCCATCTTGATCGTTTACATTTTCATTTAGAAATTGTTATGGCCTGTAGGATTTTTATTAATGACATTAATTCCTTTTTTATACATAATAGTTTATTAACAAATATCATCATATATGTCTATTAAATTATTATTAGAAAAAGCACATGGGTATTAAAAATTTGCAATTTAATACTTATATATTATAATTAACTTCAAAATATATTTAAAAAGGTTTTTCTAAATATATTATATTTTGTTTCCTTACTGTGAGTGCATAATTTTGCAAATGACTAGTCGGTTATATTTATTCATCTTGAAAATAATTAGTCATTAATTTCTTTATTCAATTGTTAAATTCTAATTTTTAAAAGTTCTTTCAAAATTTATTATATCTTCTTACCTTATAATCATTATGTGCATAATTTTGCCAATGCCATGTCGGTTATTTGGAAAAAATTAGTTATTAATTAATTTTTTTTATTCAATTACTATGCTGTATTTTTTATATTTATTGAATTACGCTAGAATTTATCTGAAAACCAATAAAATACTATTTTAAATTAAATTAGAGTATTTATAGATATTGAGTTTATAATGATTCAGAAGCAGCGCTAGGGTTGGAAACACGTATTCTTAACATTAAATGCAATGACTAATTAAAAGCATCAATGGCATTTTTGGATTTGATTGTTGACGAACTTAACATGGAAGCTAATACGTAGGAAAGGACAAGTACCTCAATCATCACTCAGCTTTCAAAGTTTCATCTAAATTTTCATGTCCATTGATCTCCACGCAATTTCCAATAACCTAACAGATGGGTATTCTTGGATCAGCATCGCCTTTTTCTTCAAAACTCATTTAAAAATCCCAGTAACCAGCTTATTATTGCACAGTAAATCAAGAAACTTTTTCTTCTTATTCAAATAGTTAGAAATGCAATTCAATGAACGACATTGGAACTAATTAACTTTTTTAAAACTGTTGAGGTTGATGAGAACGACAATGACGATGATGACGTTAAAACTGTTGAGGTTGATGAGAACGACCATGACGATGATGACGATATCGACAACAACTACGACGATGTCGACAACGACTACCACGACAACTATAATAATAAGGTTAGTGTTAAAAAAGACAAGCTATCGTGAAAAAGTTAGATATCAATTCATACGTGAAAGAAAATAAAAATAGAAATAAGAAGTATAGAGGTTAAAAAAGAAAAGAGAGACAAGAATGGTAGAAGCCTAAGTATTAAACAAAACTCCTGAATTTCGAAACAAGTCTAAAGCTATTGTGAAGTTTTGTTTTTTTGTTTCATGAGATCAAACCCATCATATTATGTTGGGTCCTTGACTATTAGCTATTAAATTTCTATGACAGGAAAAGTCCTAGTGAAACAGAGCGCAGTGGACAAACTTAAAGAGAAGTCCCTCTTTCATGGGCCCAAAAGTCAATAATGGTGGGCTGGACATTAAAGATAAATTGGCCCACAAAAGATTTTGAGCTCCCAATCTATGATGGGCCTGACTCTTGAATGCCTAAGGCATTTTCCTTTTTGCCTCCTCTCGAAACAAAACAAATCTTTTGGCAGAGCGAGGGAGGGGGGGAGGGGGGGCCAACTGTGAGCATTTATTCCACTTGCCACGTGTGTGCATGCTAGCGTTTCTTTATCTTTTCAGCCCTGCAAATGTAAAACCGGGGGGGGGGGGGGGGGGGGGGCCAACTGTGAGCATTTATTCCACTTGCCACGTGTGTGCATGCTAGCGTTTCTTTATCTTTTCAGCCCTGCAAATGTAAAACCTCTGAACCTAGGACCTATGAAAACCTCATGCCACCTCCCCTTTTGACCGAGTATTTTGCACCGACCCCCGTTCTAACGTGCCTTGTTTTACCAGATCGAGCCCGAGGAAGACCGTTTGAGGTTACCCTAGAAGGCACCTCTCCTCACTCTTTATTTCAATTTTTCCATCTACTGGGGTTTCCAGGACGCTACTGCGCAGTAAAAAGAGTGGTGTTCGTTAAGAGCGACGCCACCCGATGGCATGGCTTGTAATAAAATGCATTTTCATGTTCATTTGTCTGATGATTCTACTCGTTGGCATTTTCATGGTCTTTTCTTTTTTGCGTTCTGGGAAATATTTCTACGATTGAGCATCTGAATTTGCAGTGGAGAGAATATAGATCAAATGAATATATGCGGAAAGCAAGAGAGAAATCAAATCAGGCTGCCCAGGTTTAGGTGGTTACCTTGGACTCTAGAGGATCGTCCCGTTATTGCATTCTCTGCCAAGAAATGATGCTGCCATGGAACACCATTAGCTCCAAACTGCACCTACAAATTAACATTCACCATGATTTATATTAAAATTCACGTGTTTGCAGTGACCGCTTCCATTGAAAGAGAAGCGAAAGAAACGAAAATGCAAGAGGGTGTTGAATGAGGAAACGGCCAAATTCTGCTGAAGAGATATTCTGATGTATAAAAAGAAGTTTGCCTCAGATAGATATATCATATATAATGAGATCTGATCCGCCAAAAACAAGTATATATATATATATAGCACATAGGAGAGACAATATGATCATGTTATCCAAGGTTAATTTCACTAACTAACCTTGAATCCTGCAACTTCATCCTCTTATTTCTATCACCTCGCGCATGGTTCTCTCTAGAATATAAAACGAAGACAACATTCCAGAAAAGAAAGAGAAAGAAAACAAAAAAACAAAGAAAGAAGGTGGACAAAAGGGCCATCTCAGTCATCTTTTATATTGATACACTAGAAAAGTGGCCGCGTTAGGTTACATGTTAATATTTTTTTTTTTATAAAAGATATTAAAAAAAATTAAAATTTAAAAGTATTCGGTTGTTTTATAAAATTATATCTAAAAAAATTAAGTTTATTTGCTAGGCTTGACTAAAAATTATATTTATATTATTAATAATAATATTAAACTTATATGATTCAAGTTTAAGTAAGTTTAGTTACAATACTAAACCCAGAGTTTTGGATATGGGTCTAGCTATAAAGTTGTGTTATAAAAGTATGATAATTAAAAAAATAAAATTAATATTATAAAATTAAATTAAAAAAAATAAAGCAAAACTTTATTTTGATGAATAGTGTTTTGCAAGGAGAGGTATAATTAAATTCCCTCATGAAATCACAATAATCTAATAAATAGTAAAAAAATTAATCATAAAATTTATTTCTTAATCAAATTGATATTAATTGATGAAATTGAAATAAAAAAATACTTAAGACAAAGAAAAAAATCTGAATCAATTAGTTTAACCCATTAAACCTAGGATTTGTGTCATAAAATCGGAAGAAAAAAGATTGATGTTTTTTAGTTATAGTTAATTACAATATTTAAGGATGAAATTGAAAGAAAAAACCAATAAATAAAAAGAAAAAAAATCTAAATTAATTGGGTTAACCCACCAAATCTAGTTAACTCATCAAACCTGAGATTCATGTTATGAAAGTGTGATAACTAAATAAAAAAAATTAACAGTAATAAACTACATTAACAAAAAAAATTAATTAAAAAGAAAAAAATAAAAGAAAAAAACTTACAGGAAGAAAAAAATAGAAAAAGAAAAAAAATCTAAATTAATTAGGGTAACCTGTAAAACTAGGTTAATCGTCAAACCTGATATCCGTATCATGAAAATTTAATAACTAAATAGAAAAAAACTTAATATTAATAAACAAAATTAAAAAAACATAATAATTAAAAAGGAAAAACAAAAAACAAAAAAATACTAAAAAAAAAGATTAATTTAAATGAAAAAAAACCTACATGAAGAAAAAACTAATGAACAAATAGAAAAAAATCTGAATTAACTGAGTTAACCCTTCAAATGAGGATAACCAGTCACACTTGACATTCATGTCATAAAATTTTAATAATTGAATAGGAAAAAAATTTACGGGTTGACCCAGAATTAGCTGGGTTAACCCGTTAAACCTAAGATTCATGCCATGAAATTTTGATAACTAAATAAAAAAAATTAATATTAACAAACTAAATTAAATAAAAAAATTAATTAAAAAGAAAAACCAGAAAAAAAAATCTGGGTTAACCTTAAACCAAAAAAAGATTTAGGTTAACCAGTCAAACCCGAAATTCGTATCATAAAAGTTTGATAACTAAATAGAAAAAAATAACATTAACAAACTAAATTAAATAAAAAAAATTCATTAAAAAATAAAAAAATAAAAAAAATTGTCTAGCCTTTTCACTGTGGGTTAGTTATAATATTAAAATATGAAATTGAAAGGAAAAAACTAATGAAGAAAAAGAAAAATAATATCTAAATCAACTAGGTTAACTCACCAAATCAGGTTAACTCATCAAACTTGAGATTCGTATTATGAAAGGGTGATAAATAAATATAAAAAAATTAATATTAAAAAAATATATTAAAAAAACAAATATTAATTAAAAAGAAAAAAACAAAGGAAAAAAACCTACAAGAAGAAAAAAAACCAATGAAGAAAAAGAAAAAAAATCTAGATTAACTGGATTAACCAGTTAAACTTGAGATGCATGTTATGAAAATTTGATAATTAAATAGAAAAAAATTTAATATTAATAAACTAAATTTAAAAAAACTAATTAAAAAGAAAAAAAATGAAAAAAAAACTACCAAACAAAAAAAAAAGAGATTAATTTAAAAGAAAAAATAAGAAAACAAAGCGTACATGAATTAAAAAACTAATGAAAAAAATATAAATTAATTGGGTTAATTTGTCAAACCTAAGATTCATATAATGAAAGTTTGATAATTGAATAGAAAAAAATTTTATAGGTTAGCCCAGAATTAGCTATGTTAATCCATTAAATTCGGAATCCGTGTCATAAAAGTTTGACAACTAAATAGAAAAAAATTTAACATTAACAAACTAAATTAAATAAAAAAATTAATTAAAAAGAACAAAAAAAAAAGTTAGGTTAACCTGTCAAACCAAAATCTGTGTTATGAAAGTTTGATAACTAAATAAGATAAAAAATTAATATTAACAAAAAACAATTAAACAAAATATATTCATAAAATAATAATGAAAAAAAAAGCAAAAACAAAGCAAAAGTCTATATATATATATACACACACACCTTTGCACTATGCAATATATAGTAAAAACTTGAACCGTTTTAGTTATAGTTAATACATACAATAATATTCAGCTATATTACAGTGTGAGTGGTTAAATAAATTTAGTTAATTTAATAATATAACTATATAAAAAACAAAAATAAATGACATCGACTAATCAAGAAAAATATATTTATATTAATATTATAAAAAGATAATTTCTAAATATTTTTCAAAGGTCTCAATAATCATATTCGATAATAAAATAAAAATTAAATGAGAACATGATAAACTCATAAAAAAATAAACACAAATTTAAAGCTTAATCACTAACAAATTAAATATTCAATGATAAACTAAAAAAAATCAATTTTTAGAAAGGATAAAAAAACCTAACTTGAATTAGGATGTTGAATTCATAGCTCGAGTATAAAACTAAGATAACCTTATATAAAAAAAAAATATAATAAAACAGTGGAGGTCAATACTTAAACAAACTAAATAATGAAATACAAACTAAAAAAAACATTGAAAAAAACTTTAGTCAACTTAGATTAACTAGACTAATCATTGAACCTGTAATCTAAGTTATGAGATCAAGATTACCTCAGACAAGGCTAAGATGAAAATATTACAAAACAAAATTCTCAATTGATGAAATTGAAAAAAAATGATCAAGAATTAAAAAACAAAAAATAACTATAAAAAATATAAAAACTAAATTGGATTCAAGAAAATAATGAAATAAAAAATGATGATAGATGACATTAAAAAATAAAATCAACTTCATAAAACATTAAATGCGTGACCTGAAGAGCACGCCACTTTTGGATCTTCAATAATATTTAATATTTATTAAAATAATAAATAATTTTTTAATCAACTTGATTTTAACTAAAAAAATCCAATATAAAATTACAAAGAAGCCTCTGGCACACACTGGCTAAAGAAATTTCCTTTGAAATGTTATCTAATCATGTTACATTGCTTTAGAAAGTGAAAAGGTATTAGCTTTTAGTTAAATAAATTGGTTTTTAAAAATAATTTAGTTATTTTTGTATATTTTAAAATATAAAAACCTAATTTGTTTCTTTTAATTTATAAATGACTAATAGATTTTTATGAAGAGATAATATTATTACCCTTAAAACTGAGTTCATTGGTTTTTTTCAAATAATCATTATAATGTTATAATATATTTTGAAGACTGAGTGCTATTGTTTTTTCAATATATATATATATATATATAGAGCCCAAGCTGACCCTATTTCTTCAACTTTGACCAGAGATAAAAAGGAAAAGAAAAAGAAGAGGGTACTTTGCATGTTGAACTAGAAAGGACAAACCTTTGAAAGTGGTAAATGCTGAAGGAGCTGTGGCGCTGATTGATTATATGCGAGTGTAATTGTGACACCATTTACTACTTTACCATATAGGATACGGAAATTGAAAAGAAGGGCTACACTGACTCTGACACGCAGAAAATTTAGACTTTTCCTCATTGGTTGCTGTTCTTTATTTTTATTTTTACTTTTACGAGGTCTCCTTCCTAGCCAGGGATTTGGTTTTAGGGAGTCCTTTTCTTGCTTGAATCCTGTGGTGGAAGGGGCTGGTTTTGCGCCTTTATAACTGTTGGGAAGAATGGTTATAGTTATATTTTAAAATATTTTTTATTTATAAATATGTTAAAATAATATATTTTTATATTTTAAAAGTTATTTTGATATTAGTAAATTAAAATGATTTTAAAATATTAAAAAATATTATTTTAATCTAAAAATACTTTTTAAATATAAAAATAAACATGTCATTTCTTAGTTTTATTTTCTTTAAAACCTTTCAAAATTTATACACAATTTCCTATGTTTTCTTCTAGCATACATGCTTTTGTATTGTATTCATTGATTTTGTTTAGTGAGATAAACTCATCTCAAAATTTCTTAGTTGTTATAATTTTGTATTAATAAATGGTTATTTCATTGTGTAGTTTAAAATTCTTTGGACCTTTCAATCAACAGAAAGAAATTTTAATTTAAGAATGATTTCGTTTTGCTTCATGGAGATTTGTTCACAAGGAATAAAAATAGAACTAGAGAATATTAAGACTGAAACTAAAATTCTCTCTAAAAAAAAAAGATAAACAAAGAATTGCACCCAATAGTGCACATATATTGATCAACAGTTTTGTATCCAAACACAAGCATTTAACATAATTTAATGTTCTAGGGGGGTTTCTTCGTGTAATAATTAAGGGAAAAAAAATCATCTAATATGAGAGATTGGGTTGAAACTCTGACTTCCTAGGAATATGGTATATCCATGTCCCATTAACTTCACTTGGAGAACTATCTTGAGTTATGATCTGATATTAGATATAATGGAATTTTTTTGAATGTCAAAAATACGATATTTATTATCTAATTTTGATACATTTGTTATGCACCCATTTTATAAAACATAACATTTATTAATTTCTTTTCACAATTTCTTTTTTTTTAAAATGATAATAGCAGTCTTGATGTTAATAAAGAGTTTATTTAAGAAATGATTTGAAGCAGCATAAAAGAGAATTGTTGGAGTAGAAAACGCAATAAGCTTTTCCTTCCTAGGTCTTTGAATTATTAAAGATTGCTCGTGCACACGATATGAA